CATTGGGCAAATCAAGTAAAGATGTCACTTTGAAGACTATTATTTTCAATAACTTCATATAAACGTGAAAACTGAATAATGAATAAGGAAGATTGCACAAGAATTGATGCATTTGAATTGTAGTGTTAGAGAATACTGGAAATACCATGGACTGCCCAGAACAAACAAATCTGTCGTGCGAGAAGTACAGCCAGAAAGCTGCTTAGGAGAAAGAATGCCCAGACTCTGTCTCATCTATTTTGGTCATGTTGTCCGAAGGGACCAGTCTCTGGAGAACAATGTTGTGCTTGGTAAAGTAGATGGTCAGTGAAAAAAGGGAAGACTCTCAAAGAGACGGACTGACACCGTGGCTGCAACAATGGGCTGGGGCACAGCCAAGACTGTGAGGACTGCATAGCACCAGGAGGTGTTTTGTTCTATTGCAGACAAGGTCACTAGCAGTTGGAACCAACTCAACGGCACCAAACATCATTTATTCTTCCCAAACTAAACAACAGAATGGAATCATCTTTAATTCCTCTATCCCAAATACCAATTCTTAAGCTGATCCTTTGTAATGTCTCTGGTAGCAGTACGGTTCCATTTCCCCTGAGTCCTCCCTCTTTATTCTCACATGGGCACTGGTCTTTCAGTAGGTTTAATCCATCCCACGTACTTTACGTACTTTGGACATGTTATTAGGAGGGACGAGTTCCTGGAGAAGGACATCGTGGTTGGTAGAGGGGTTAGTGAAAAAGAAGATCCTCAAGGAGACAGACTGACACCGTGGCAGCAACAATGGGCTCAAACACGAGCATGGCACAAAACCAGGCGATGTTTGTTCTGTTGCACGAAATGTTGCTATGGGTCACCTCAACGGCACATAACAATGCTACGAACGAGGGCAGCAGTGGTTCAGTGGTAGAACTCTCTCCTTCTATGCCAGAGACCAGGGTCTGATTCCCAATGTACCATCTGTCAGTGGAGGCTTGCGTCTTACCATGACACTGAACAGATTTCAACGGAGCTTTCAGGCTAAGAAGGACTAAAAGGTCCGCCAGTATCCTTCTGAGAGTCAGCCAGTGAAAACTCCATGGATCACAACGGTCAGACCCCATTGTGTATGGCCATGAGGAAGGGGGAACTTGACAGCAACTAACATCACCATCCTATGAGCACCTAGACAAAGAAGGCACAAACGAGACACCGTCTTCAACTTCAGCCAGTTTCCCTGCCTCCGCTCACACTCTTATCTGAATAGACCTACAGATTAAAACAAAGTGCTAAGGAGAATCTTTTGAACCATGTCAAACCCTGGCCCCCTCCAATGACTTCCTAGAGACTCCTTGTCACCAAAGAGGTTTTCAATCCTGGCCATGCATTGGAGTCGCCAGTGCAGCTTTCTAATATTCCCTGGACCCACCCCAGAACTATTGAATCAGCATCTCTAGAGTGGAAACTGACAACTCCTATTTTTAAAAAGCTAGGAGATTTATTAGGAGCTCTGGTAGCATAGTGCCTAAGGCACTTGATTGCTAACCAGAAGGCTGGCGGTTCAAACCCACCAGCCACTCCTTGGAAGGAAGGTTGGACAATCTACTTCTGTAGTGATACTGCCTCGGCAACCCAAGGAGGGTCACTATGAGTCGGGTCCAACTCGACAGCACATAACAACAACAACAGGAGCTTTAGTACAGTCCCATCCACAAAAGAGCGTGTGGATGGTGCAGGACTGGGTAGTCTTTTGTTCCATTGTGTACGGGATCACCATGAGTGAGGGGCTGACAGCAACTAACAACCACTAGCTTTAGTATTTATCACAACTGGCATCAGAACCACATGGTGAGCTTAATACAGATTCCCAGGCCCAGAGGGTACTTCAGTAGGAAATAGCATTACAAGCATTCCTCATTATGCAAATGCTCACCAGTATAAGAACATCAGAAGTTAGTTTGAAGTGAACAGAATCCCCAGACCCAAAGCTCTGGAATTCAGTTTTAGGAAAGGGAAGGAGTTCCGAGGTTGACAATCTTTATCCTTCCTCTTCTAAGAGGTTAAATGAAAAAAGACTCCAGAGTTCTTTATTTTACCTTTCACTTTTAATCCTCTCCCTGTCCCAATGCTCAAAAAAATACCCAGAAATTAAATACAAAGGAGCTCAAAGAGCCAGGGCAAGCCAGCCCAAAAGAAGCAGACTCCCTCCCACAGGGGCCAAACGCTGGACGCTGGGGTCTCCACTCAAAGCCTGGTAGTAGAAGCTGGTGCAGAATAAGGTGGTTCCAGAGGTGAGCAGTAACCCGGCCTAAAGGAGACACAGGGCCGAATGCAGCCTTATAACAGGACAGGCTGAGAGGGAAGGGGTGTGGCGTGGGCAGTGTTAGGCAATGGGGAAGAGTACCCAGAGGGGCTTTCTGCAATGTGGCACAGCTAACAGGGCCAGGCTGTGTAAGAAGTGATGTTTGTTGGCCTTGTCAAAAAGCTGTAAGAAAAGGAGAAATGGGGGGGGGGGCGTGCCAATCAAAGCAGGAGTCTGCGATTCCGTGGAGACCCAGGGGACAAAAGTGCATCCCCGCCACCCCTGCATTTCCAACTTGTCCCTCCCTCAAGCTTGTCTCTATGCCTCAAGCCTGCAGTCCTTGCTGCTCGAGAGACCAGAGCTCCGCAACCCTTCCCACACAGACTTCTCTCAGGAACCTCTGAATTCCTGCCCTCGTAGACCCGGAAGTAGGGGGGAAGGGCAGTTACTTCACCTCTTTTCCGTAGGCATCCGGGAACTGGGCGCCTGTGGAGAAGAGAAGCAAAGGTTAGAAAGAACGCCCAATCCGAGGGCTGGCCCCGTCCGCCCAGTCTCCCAGGGGACCCAGATGGGCATTAAAATGAAGCCCCCAGGAGGCTTCTGATGGTGGAAACACGCTAAAATGTCGAGTAGTTCTGGGAACAAACTGGACCTGGCTGAGGAACTTTAAAAGGTTTAAGGCTCCGCTGTCCAGCCGAGGGGAGACCGGGCACTTCCCGTAGACTCCGCCCCTGCACCAGACCCCAAATGTCGTTTCAGGGATGCCCACAAGCCCAGCTCCGGCCCCTGTCCCCTGACCGTGCGCCCCGTAGGTAGCCAAGCCTAAAGCCCCGGCTCCGGACAAGGCGCCCAGGCGCCTAAATGTAGCACCCAACCCGGCCATGGCTGTGGATGGTCACGCGCCGGGCGTACACCGCCCAGGTCACCCAAGAAGCCAGCCAATCCCGGTCACCCATGTAAATAAGGTACACATGTGCCCAATCCAAGCCGTGTTCATTTTAGCGTGCAGGTCCTTACCCGGGTACTTGCGCTTTTGTAAAACCGATGCTGAGTGGCGAAGATGTCTGGCGGGCGGAGAAACAAGGACCAATTAGGGGAGGAGTAGCGGAGCAGTGGAGGGCGGGTTGAGGGCTGGACTAGAGGATTTACGTCACGGATTGGCCCAATTTCCAAGTTGATTGCCTCTTCTATCCACCACCCCTCATCTCCGAACAATTTCCAAAGATCCCCACGCAAAGTTCCGCCCCTTTCCCCACTGGCTCCTCCTGTTCAGCCTCAAACCAGGCCCACTCCCAAAAAGAGGCGGCCCACGGAAACCCAAGCCTCACCCATCGCCATTAAACCCCGCCCACTTCCCTGATGGGTCCTCCTCCGAGCCCGGAGGCTCCGCCTTCTTTCTATGTTGCCCCGCCCTCTGTCGTTCATCCTTCTCCCACCAGGCTGAGAGTACCCTTAGGGTGGGAGATCTGGGGGAATGTCTCCATTTTGCCTGGGCCCGCTTCGTCCATCTGTCCGTCTGTCCACTCCCGCCCCCTTTCCCCGCCTCCAACCCCCATACTCCAAAGGGCGGGCGGGCAAGCTGGTGAGAGCGAGGGGTGTGCGCCGCTCTCTCGGCAGGGGGCGGGGGAGGCGGCCGCGCGGTGACGCGCGGGGCTGCTGCGGCTGCTCCGCCGGCGGATCATCACTCTCGGGCTGGGATGGACGCGAGGCGGGCGGGCCCTGGCGCGCGGAGCCGGGAGTCCGGGCCTCCTAGCTACTGAGCATCCCCTGAAGCCTCCCCTCACCCCTGCCTTCCCTCCTAGAAATCGTGCAGACCCCCACCCCGAAGCTCCCGACTCGGCTCCCGCCCTCCTCCGACTCCTTGGACCTCCCCCTCCCGCCCGCCCTCGGGATCGACTGGATCCCTCCCCCTCCCCGAGGATTCCGGCTGGATCCCTGCCCCTGCACCGCGGATTCTGCGCTCCCGGGCCCCTGGCCCCTGGGGATTGCCGTGGATTCCTCCTCCCGCAGCCTATCCCTTAGGATCCACCGCCTGGACCTCCTTTTGGTCCCTCGAAGCCGACCCACGGAGCCAGTGGATCCCTGATCCAGTCCTGCCCCGTTGCCCCCTCCTCGCTCAGTCGTCCCCACCGCCGGTTTCCCCGTTCCCGGGCCTCCTCTGACCCCATCCCCTATCTTTCCTTTCCCCGGGGATCGACTGGATCCCGGCCCCGCCCCCCGGGGCTGGGGCGATCCCCCTCCCCCGCCGGCTGAGGTGCTGCGGGCGGGGGCTGGGCCTGCGGGGCTGCGGGGGCTCAGAGGCTGCCGCCCCCCTCCCGAAGCCCATCCGACCCCCGCTCGGGACCCTGGATGGAGGCACTACGGCCCCGGGGCTGAGCCAGGTAGGAGCTGAGCCGGCGGGCGGAGGGGGCTGCGTGGCGGTCCGTTGGGGTCGAGCTAAGCCGGGCGGGCGGAGGGGGCTGCGTGGCGGTCCGTTGGGGTCTCCCCGTCCCCACATCTCTCCCTGCGCCTGGCTCCCCCAGCCTGCTCCGTGTGCGTGTCTCCGCCTAGGGGTGCTCTCGCCGTGTCTCTGCGTCTCGGTCTCTTTGTCTCTGCCTCTCTTCAGTCCATGAATGATCCTTTGAATGGGCCCACAGACCCCGTGTGTTCCCATCTCCCCCTCCCCCTCCTTCTCCCCTTCCCGGCCAAGCCGTTTTCCCCACTGCAGGAAGGGGGGGTGCTGCGGCCTGAGCCCCTGTCCCTCAACTCTCCTAAGCCTGGGCAGGAATGGAGAGAGCCAGGCAGAGGGATAGGAAGAAGGAGGGAGCAAGATGTGGCAGACAGAGATGGGGAGAGAAAATGGGGGAGACAGAGATAGGGAACGAGAAGAGAGAGGCTGAAGGGAGAAATTTGAGGAAGGGATCTGGAGGAGAGAGAAATGAGGAACACCAAGGAGAGAGATGTAGAGAAGAGATGGGGGAATAAAAAGACTGGGGGGCAAGAGCTGGAGCAAGCTGTAAGAGGCCAGAAAGATGCTCTGAGGGAGTGCTGTGGAGAGAAGAGAGAGGGAGTGGGGGGAGGGCTCCAGTGCAAAGGAAGCTGGTGGGGAGGAGGCCTGGAGCCCAAAGTACCTAGGGGAGGGGGCTGACAGCCTGGTGGTGTTGGGAGGAGAGGGTGGCAAGGTGGTGGAAGCCAAGCCCAGCCTGGCCGGGGGAGAGGACACCTGGGAAAGCCAGCCCAAGCCCCCTCCAGGTGCCAGGGGTACAAGAGCTTAAGAGGACCTGAAGAGGGGGAGGCTTGGCTGGGCGTGTGTGGTAAGGGCTCCTGTGTCCTCATCTTTGGAATAAATTGACACCTGCAGAGAGCCACCCGCGGGCTGGCGCCTGGCTCTGAAAACCCCGCGTCAGCAAACAGCTCTGGCGGCTGGGGGGGGGGGGCAAAGGGGCTTGCTAAAATGACCTGGGTGTCTGCCCCTTTGGCCTAATCCCTTCCCAGACCCCTCTGCCCTGAGCGTCCAGGCACCAGAGCAGCAATTGTGGGGGGCTGGCAAGGGGAATGGGATAAGTAGAAAGCCCAGGTCTGCCCCCAGGACAAGGGCCAGATGCTGGGTAGGGAAGAAGAGGTGTCTGGGGCCTAAAGTTGCTCAAGAGTGTGGAAGGGAGGCAGTCGGTGGACTCATCTGAAGGCCCCCAAGCCCATCTTAGCACTCCTTCTCCTCAGCCAGAGGCCTGGTCACTGAGGCCAAGCTCTGAGTGGCCAACAAGGGGGGCAAGAGTTGAGTCTTTTAGGGTCCTCTATGCCCCCAATCTTCCCCCCAACATGTATACTTCCTCTATTCTGAGGTTCGGGAAACTAGCATTCTGACCCATGACTCTCATGCCCTGAATGAACCCCAGAGCCAAGCCAACCCCTTCCTCTCTGTCTCTAGAACCCCCTTCCCGGGTTAAAGCTGCTGCCCGTTGCCGAGGTAACATTGCAGGGCAGCATCCTGTCGCCCGGCAACCGGCTGCAGGATCACGCATCTGTCCCTGGATCTGCCCCTCCAACACCCCCTTCCAGTCGAGCCCCTGCCTCGAAGCACCCCAACTTGTGATGGAAAAAATGGAGAGGTTTTGGAGAGAGAGGGGACCTGGGGCCGCACAGATCCCTAGGGAATGTGATGTTGAAGGGGGGAGAAGATGCAGGGCTTGTGCAGTCCCAAGAAAGACCAGAGCCTGGCCTGGGGTGGGGGTTCAGCACCAAGAAATTACAGCTCAGGAGTAATTAACACATATAAACAAACCCGCCACTTCCTGCTAATTAATGACTTGGTATTTTTATTTTCTCTCTCTTGTCTATCTCATTCCCTCCTAGGGAGGTGGGAACTGGGACTCCTGATTCCCTGAGGAGAGTCCAAAAGGGAGGGCTAAAGGGTCTGAAAGGGGGTGTGCTGGGTCTGGGGAGTTGACCTGCCTTCTCCCCAGGTTGCCCTGGACATATATCATATCCTGACCCCACTGCCCAACCTCATTGACTTTTCCACCCAGATCCCTGTTGTGGGGAGGGAAAGCACTTGGTGGGGGGAGGTCCCAAGGGGGTGGGGGTGGAAGAAGTGGGGCAACTTGGTCTGAATTCCAAGTCACTAACCACTTGTCTCTTCTGTTTCCCCATTCCTTTCTGTCTGCCCCATCGGATCTCCCTTCCCATCTTCCACCTCCCCTCTGTTTTTTTCTATCTGTCTGTCTTTTGCACACCCTGTCCCTCCTCTTCTGCCTGGGGCCACCCCCCTCCCCCCCCCTGGCAGGTCGGGCCTGCCTTTCCCTTCTCCCACCTTCTCCCCCTTCCCCACCCCTTGACCCCTCCATGGAGAGGAACAGACCCCTTCTTGGTCCAGTCTAACCCCCATCCCTCCCCACCCCCTTCCTCCCTCCTTCCCCCCACCCCCTCCTCCCTCCTGGGGCGAGGGGGGCCTCCCTCCCTCTCCCCCCCCTTCTCTCTCTCTCCGAGGGGGGGGGTCCCGGGGAGGGAGGGGGGGTCCCCCGATCAGCATGTGGCTCCTGGCGCTGTGTCTGGTGGGGCTGGCGGGGGCTCAACGGGGGGGAGGGGGTCCCGGCAGCGGCCCAGGCCTGGGCCTCGGCAGCCTCGGGGAGGAGCGCTTCCCAGTGGTGAACACGGCCTACGGGCGAGTGCGCGGTGTGCGGCGCGAGCTCAACAACGAGATCCTAGGCCCCGTCGTGCAGTTCTTGGGTGTGCCCTACGCCACGCCACCACTGGGCGCCCGCCGCTTCCAGCCGCCTGAGGCCCCCGCCTCGTGGCCCGGCGTGCGCAACGCCACCACCCTGCCGCCCGCCTGCCCGCAGAACCTGCACGGGGCGCTGCCCGCCATCATGCTGCCTGTGTGGTTCACCGACAACTTGGAGGCGGCCGCCACCTACGTGCAGAACCAGAGCGAGGACTGCCTGTACCTCAACCTCTACGTGCCCACCGAGGATGGTAAGGGAGCGGGCACCAGTCCCGGCACCCCATGGACATAGCCCACAAACGCACATGCAGACCCTCAGGCAGTGGTGTAACCCCTGGGCCTGTGGGGACAGTGCCGGCAATTTGTCCCTGAAGCCTCAGCGTGTTCTCCGAGGATGGTAAGGTTACCTGCCAGGCAGTCCCAGAAACCATCCCACAGACAAGGACCCCAGAAGTTCTTTGTGCACACGGCCAATGTTAAGGGCAACAGACACCACTAGACTGGGCTTCCTCTACCACAGAAGAGTCACACATGGATCCAGCCACCTAATCTCAGTGTGGCCACTGAGGGTGATCAGGTGATGGAGGCATCAGTCACCTACCCAGACACCCAGTCCAACTTCACCCACTTCCCTCCCCCAGACTTGGGCTTGTCTCTGGCAGAATACACACTTCACCTACACCTATACATCACAGCCAGTGTAAACTCCCTTCCCAAGGCCAACGTGGTAGACTTCCATCTATAGCATGTTCCCAGAGACTATCACCTGAGATGAGTGCCCTTGGCAGTGGTACTCACACCCTCCTCTTCTCCGTAAGGCTCTGGCCCCTCCCTATACACCCCTGAAGGATCAGGGAGTCTCTTCACCAAGGGCCCCTCCACTCAGCATAGCCCACCCGTGGCCAGCAGAACACCTTCACTAGAGCTCTCAAGCCAGCCGTTCTTGTCCGTAAATGCTCCGGTTCACTACAGTACTGCACCAAGCCCTCAGCACACTCACCTGGACAATTCTCTCTCTGCTACACAGAGGGTCATTGGCAGATCTCCAGCCACCCTAACAGACCATCTCCACAAGCAGACCCCGTGTCACCTTTCCAATGGCATGACTCCAAAACACTCCAACACACCCACAGAGACGGTCCAGTCCTACATACAGGCCTGGTACCCAGAACCCCCTCTCTGCATACACTCTATACACTCAACACTCCCGAATCATATACTTGAGTTCCACATAGACTATGAACCTCAGCCACTCAACACTCACATCATATACCCAACAAACCAATACACTGACCATGTGCTCCAACACCTTTACATAACACATACTTCATTTCTCTGAAATTGTCTACCCCATCACTCACACATATCTGTGGTCTCCGATACTTCTGAATATAGATCATGCACTCTAATAACATCCACCCATAGACCTTATGCCCCAATAACCCTGCACCTTAACCATATGATCCAATACCCCACTCACACCACAGGCCCCAGCATTCTCACCACTTCTCAAACATTACTCACCTCAAGCCCTACCTAGGGATTATCTGCATTACACTTTGGGTGGTGGCAATACATTAAATATGCCAATCATGCCTATCACATAACACCTCATCTGCCTCAACCTACCCACATCCATCCCAAGCCCACCCATGTGGACCACCCACCCTTTACACTCCTCATACTAGCCATGCACCCTATAACCAACTATCCCTCCCCCTATAAACCATACCTCCTAACCCATGGACACAATGCACAGAAACACCGTCTACTCCAATCCCATCTAAATTCCAAGCACCCAAACCCCCCATACACCGTTTATCCCAACATACTCCATCCACCTCCTGCAATTCCCCAATACCCTATGCCTCAGAATCGCCCACTCCACAGTCCCCTCTTCTGTCATTGAACCACCTAACCCAGCATCCTCCCACCTGTGAATTGTTAACCGCAGTACCTTCATACTGTTCATCACAACACTCCCCACTGTGGGCTCCCCATTCCCACACCTTCACGTAGGCTGTCTACCCCAATATCCCCTTCATGTGGACTATCTCTTATCACCCTCCTGTGTGAAACATCCACTCCCACCAATGGACTGTCCACCCTAAGACCTCCATACAAATTGTCTACCCTCCATCCCCATACCACCCATGCCCGCACATTCTGTATTTTTATCTACTGCTTATGACAGACCTACTTGGGGCCTGACACGGTCAGGTGATCTCACTGAATCTTCACACCAACTCTGGGAGGAAGAGGTTGACACACACATACACACACACACACATTCACTTCACTCTTGCAGGCATGCCCTGCTCACTTCATTCCCATCCTCACCTACTCAAAAAGGACAGGCCCTTGTTCCCAGTAGGTTTCTGTGGGGGTCATGTTTGCCAGTTGGGAAAAGGCTTCCAGAGGCTGGCCTGGGCCTTGCTGATCTCCCACCCTGTAGTATGGAGGAGAAGCCCATGAGCCTGGTGAACCCCCTCATGCCTCTCAGTGCCAGCTGTCTTCTGATCACAACCCCCCCCCCCAATCTGAAAGAAAGCCTGGAACCAATCTCTGGGCTCAATGTGGGGCCTTTTCCTGACTGTGGGCATGTTTGCTGCCTCCCAGCCCCTCCTGGCATCTATGCATCAGGTTGGCTCAGGGCACTGTGTTTCCTATTCCCTATTTTTTAAGGGGGGCTTGGCGGTAGAGCATGGACAGGACGGATGGGGGGTATGGTGCCCCTAGTGGGAAGTTCACGTTTGGGGGTGAGGAGAGCAGGGCTGGGTAAGGGTTGAGGTTGTGGGGAGTCCAGAGGGATGAGATGGAGTGGAGGGCAAGACCTGATGACCCCTTTCCCTATTTCAACCCACCCTGGGGAGATGGGGTGAGAAGCCAGGCCGGTGAGTGTGGATGGACGAGAAATGCAGCTGGTGAGAGGCTGGGTAGGTGGGCAGACAGCCCTAGCTGACGTACCCATAGCCCTCTAGTGGAGAGCTGAGGGCTTCCAGGGGCTATGAGGGGTGGGGCAGGCTGCCCCCCAACTCCATTCTGGCCTCTGCCTTCCAGAATGGTCCAAAGCAGAGTCCTTTCTGCTTTCACCCTTCCTCTCTGCAGCCTGGGGAGCAGGCAGGCGCTTGGCTGGCCCTAGAAGGGGCCTGTGTGAGAGGTGGCTTGGGGCTGGCCTCGGTCTCCCTGTGGGCTTCCCCTCCCTTCCCCCCACCTCTAACACCGTTTCATTTCCAGCAATTAGCAAACACTTCCACAAGCCAAATCCTTTCCAGCTAAATCACTATGTCTTAAGACAGGCCTCAGCCCACTAAGCACCCCACCCCCCAAAACCAGCCTTTTCTTTGGGGCATGACTTTTTCTGGGGAGGGGAACGAAATTGGGTTATAGAAACGTTTTTCTCTTTTCTTGGTTTCTTCTTCTTGCAAACAAATTTTGCTTTTTTTGGCTTATTTTTTCTGCCCCCACCCTCCCCTTTTCTGCTTTCTCTCCTCCCCTCCCCATCCACCACCTCCCCGACCCCCATCTTTCCCCACAAAATTGTCCTTTTTTCTCTGTTTTGTGTTCCCGGTCTTAGGTCCGCTCACAAAAAAACGTGACGAGGCGACGCTCAATCCGCCAGACACAGGTAGATTTAAAAATCCCGCGGCTGCATGTGGTTGCTGATAAGAGGACGCTCATGGCCCTGCCCCCACTAAATGTCCCTATAGCCCTCAAGGCCCCTAAGTCATTCTCCCAACTAAAAACGAAAAAGAAAAGAAAAGAAAAATTTTTAACAGTTGGAAAAAAGAATTCTGAAAACTTCAAACAAAATTTGAACAATGTTGGACCCACTAGAAAACCTGCAAAAAAAGCTAAACATGGGGAAAAAAGAAAAGAAATTGGAATGTCAGGAGAAAAAACAAACAATGAATTGGATAAAATGTTGATAGAGTTTGAAAGAAATTTGGAACATTTGAAAACTTGGAAAATGTAATATTTGAAACACAATTTTAATTTGGAGCAAAACATTTGAAAAAACTGTTTAGAGTTGGTAAATTAATGATGCGATTGATACATCAGAAACTGCTCTGATTCCAAAAGCCTGTCAGATGCCGATAACGCAAACATCTGAAGTGAATTAAAGAATTTGGAAATTTTTTAAAGCAGGGCCCAATATCTTAAGTTTTACCACAAAATTTTGAAAAAATACAAGGAACTTTTTTCTTTTTCTCTTTTTTTCCAAAATGGATTTTTTTGTTTTTTCTTTTCTTGTTGAATCTGCCCCGAGAGCTTCTTGCTTTTTGGTTGTTGTTTTTTCTTTCTTTCTTTCTTCTTTCTTGATCCTGTTTTTTGTTGTTGGTTTTGAATTCTTGTTGCCCCAGCCCCCCTTCCTGCTCCTTCCCCGTCTGATTCCCCCTCCCCCACACTGGGAGCCCTGGTGGAGGTGCCTGGGTGGGGAGAAGGGACAAGCACCAAAAACCAAGGACATTTAGGACAGGACCTTGGAGGGAAGGAGATTTCAGCCTGAAGCTGCTGGAAGGACACTTGAGGCTCAGGAACAAAGGGAAGAAGTAGGATTTGGGGAGGACACAGAGGGCAGTGCCCACCTAGGTGCTCTGGACAAAGAAGTCAGGAGGAGGGGAGGTAACAAGGTCATACAAGACAAGAGGTTGGAACTGTCTGTGGGACCATTGACAGGAGTGTCTTAGTGACCTGCTGGTTGACCTGGCAGGAAGAATGTTTCTAACTGGATGAGGGAGGTGGGCAGAGATGCTGGGGGACCAGCTGTGGACACCCAGGTCTGCCTCTTGTTTGCTGAGGACCCAAGCTAGTCAGAGATTGCAGGTGTCAAGGAAGAGGAGAGTCCATCGGGTCAAAGGTGACCCCAGCCATGGTCCTATGGCTGAATCATGGGGGAGTTGCAGGGGAGGCCTTGCAAACTCTCAGACTCCCACCCTTTTCTGAAGTAGTTGCCCCTCAGACCTGTCCGGAGTCTCTCAAGTGCCTACCATGTGTGGCAGAGATTATGAGGTCCTTTTGGGAATGGCAAGAGAGGGCTCCAGGGCTGAACCTAGGGCTCAGGCCAGTCTGTGGGGGTCCAAGACTAGAGAGCTGCACCCTGGCTTCATAAAGCAGGCTCCTTCCCACCCTTCCTCCTCCTGCCACATTAATTAGGCTGGGGGTTGCCATGGTAACTGGGGAGGTGACCTAGAAAGGAATTAGGGCAGGGAGGAGACCAAGCCCCCAGGGACCCTAGGGCCTGGCACCCCCTCACCCACAGACCAGGGTACTACATGGAGCTAAGGCCCAAGCCCCAAGTCCTGAGGAAATGCCAGCAGCCTCCAGCATCTCCAGTTCTAGTTCCAGCCTTGGGAGCTTGCTCTTCTTCAGAGCAGGAGGGAGATTTGCTCTGTGTGTGTGAGGAGGGGTTCCTTGGTCCCAGCAGATGCCCTGAGGAGGACCACTCCCCACTCTTGCCTCCGTTGGGCTTCTTGGAAGTTCTGTCCGGCATATGGAGAAGTGCTGCGCTGGCCTGGCCCAGGGTGGGGAGGGAACTTTTGCCAGAGCCAGCTGCGGAGGGAGGGGAATCCGGTCTTGCCCCCCAGGGATGGGAGTGACATGTTCTCTGAGCTTCAGGCTGCTTCTTGCAGGCCTGGGAGCTGGACAGTACAGCTTCTGGTCTGACTGTGTCCCTGTCCCTCACCTCCTGGCCCACCCACCCGCCCCCTCCCCACGCAGATATCCGGGACTCAGGGAAGAAACCTGTGATGCTGTTTCTGCACGGCGGCTCCTACATGGAGGGCACTGGGAACATGTTTGATGGCTCTGTCCTGGCTGCCTATGGCAACGTCATCGTAGCCACGCTCAACTACAGGCTTGGGGTGCTCGGTGAGGGTGGGCAGCCAACTCTGGGGGGTGGAGCCTGGGGAGGTGGGCCTAGGGGTGGGGGCCTGGCCCACTGGGCGGGGTCCTTCCAAACACAGCAGAAAAGGGTGGACAGAGCTGCCCAGAAAGGGGGCAAGGGTGCTATGACACCCCCAGGAATCCCCCTTTCTTCCTCTACTTGCAGGTTTTCTCAGCACTGGGGACCAGGCAGCAAAAGGCAACTATGGGCTGCTGGACCAGATCCAGGCCCTGCGCTGGCTCAGTGAAAACATTGCCCACTTTGGGGGCGACCCTGAGCGAATTACCATCTTTGGATCTGGGGCAGGAGCTTCCTGTGTCAACCTTCTGATCCTCTCCCACCATTCAGAAGGTACCAGCAGCCTGCCTAGCCTGTCCCTCCCTTTCCCCTTACCACACTCCTAACTGTACCAGGTCCCTTGCCTCCTTTTGGCTGACACTCCCAACCTAGCCTGAGGCCTCCCTGTCCCACCAGGACTGTTCCAGAAGGCCATTGCCCAGAGCGGTACCGCCATCTCCAGCTGGTCTGTCAACTACCAGCCGCTCAAGTATACACGCCTGCTGGCAGCCAAGGTGGGCTGTGACCGGGAGGACAGTGCCGAAGCTGTAGAGTGTCTGCGCCGGAAGCCTTCCCGAGAGCTGGTGGACCAGGACGTGCAGCCTGCCCGGTACGGGGGTGGGCAAGGGCTGGCTCCAGGCCATCTTCTCTTTGCTGATGTCAAGGTTGTAATGAGAGGTGCTTGCAGACCTTCAATTTGGCAAGGAGAGGTGGGCTTGTGGCCTGTCTAGGGCCCCTGCCTCTTGGAAACCTGCCCTAAGTGGAGGTGCCTAAACAGAGCGAGTATGCATAAAGTGCCATGAATGGCTTTGGGGAACACTTCCCAGAGAGGCCAAGCTTCCTGAAGGACTCATGGTTGTTTTTTAAATAGGGGAAAGGGGAGGAGCCTGTCCGTGGGTTCAGTAGGCAGTGGGCTGGAGAGAAGGCCAGGGAACAGATGATGAGACCCTGACCCCTTCTCCCTAGTTACCACATTGCTTTCGGGCCTGTGGTGGATGGTGACGTCGTCCCAGACGATCCTGAGATCCTCATGCAGCAGGGAGAATTCCTCAATTATGACATGCTCATCGGTGTCAACCAGGGTGAGGGCCTCAAGTTTGTGGAAGACTCCGCAGAAAGCGAGGACGGCGTGTCAGCCAGCGCTTTTGACTTCACCGTCTCTAACTTTGTGGACAACCTGTACGGCTACCCGGAAGGCAAGGATGTGCTGCGGGAGACCATCAAGTTTATGTACACAGACTGGGCCGACCGGGACAATGGCGAGATGCGGCGAAAGACCCTGCTGGCGCTCTTTACTGACCACCAGTGGGTGGCGCCAGCGGTGGCCACCGCCAAGCTGCACGCTGACTACCAATCCCCTGTCTACTTTTACACCTTCTACCACCACTGCCAGGCTGAGGGCCGGCCCGAGTGGGCAGATGCGGCGCACGGGGACGAGCTGCCCTACGTCTTCGGGGTGCCCATGGTGGGTGCCACCGACCTCTTCCCTTGCAACTTCTCCAAGAATGACGTCATGCTCAGCGCCGTGGTCATGACCTACTGGACCAACTTCGCCAAGACTGGGTGAGGGCCCAAGGGGCTGGGTGCGGCTGGGTTGGGCGCCCTGCAGGCATAGGCACACCCTCCCTCCTCCATTAAAGCACTGCTCTTGCCTTCCCTTCTTGCCTGCTCAACTCAGACACCTGCTGGACACCTGCGTTGTGCCAGGCGCTGAGCTGAGTCTTGGAGATTCTGCAGATAGGTTTCTGTCCTCTCTGGGGTGGGCTCACTCTGGCTTCGCTTGGTGTCTGCCTCTCCTTCCTTCCCTCACCCACCCACCTTCTTTCCTCTCCCAGAGCCTCTGCTCCCTGTGTCTGATCACTTGGGTCTGTGTGGCCAAATATGTGTGAGGGTTTGTGGTTTGTTTGTTTCTTTATTTCTGTCTCCGTCTCTCTTGAAACCTCCTGATATCTCGATCCTTCTGCCCTCATGAGCTCTTTTCACTGTCTGGCTGCTTGCTGCTTTCACCTTGGCTATTCTGTTGGTCCCTATCTCACTCATTCTTTCTTGGCTTCTGACTCTCCTCACTGGCTATCCCTAGCAGTTTCTCTGTCCTCTTTCTGTGTCTCTGTCCCCATCTCTGGCAGTTTTCTTTTCTCTTTGCATCCATCTCTGTCCGTCTCTGTCTCTGGCTGACCGTTTTTCTCTCCGGCTGGCTGTATCTCCTCTCCGTGTCTGCGTCTCTTTCTACATCTTGTTCTCTGCCTTTCTTTCTGTCTCCCTGTTTTTCTGCATCTGTCTTTTTCCCTCCTCACTCCTGCTCCACTCCACCCACCCAACCCCATCTGCGCCTGGCCCTCACTCCTCCTTTCCCTGCCCTCCTGTGCTCACAGCGACCCCAACCAGCCGGTGCCACAGGACACCAAGTTCATCCACACCAAGCCCAACCGCTTTGAGGAGGTGGTATGGAGCAAGTTCAACAGCAAGGAGAAGCAGTACCTGCACATTGGCTTGAAGCCACGCGTCCGTGACAACTATCGCGCCAATAAGGTGGCCTTCTGGCTGGAGCTGGTGCCCCACTTGCACAATCTGCACACGGAGCTCTTCACCACCACCACACGCCTGCCTCCCTACGCCACACGCTGGCCGCCTCGCCCACCCCCTGGTGCCCCGGGCACACGCCGGCCTCCGCCGCCCGCCACCCTGCCGCCTGAGCCTGAGCCTGAGCCAGGCCCCAGGGCCTATGACCGCTTCCCTGGGGACTCACGAGACTACTCCACGGAGCTCAGTGTCACTGTGGCTGTGGGTGCTTCCCTCCTCTTCCTCAACATCCTCGCCTTCGCTGCCCTGTACTACAAGCGGGACCGGCGGCAGGAGCTGCGGTGCCGGCGGCTTAGCCCACCTGGTGGCTCAGGCTCTGGTGTGCCTGGTGGGGGCCCCCTGCTCCCTGCTGCTGGCCGCGAGCTGCCACCAGAGGAAGAGCTGGTGTCACTGCAGCTGAAGCGGGGTGGTGGTGTTGGGGCGGACCCTGCCGAGGCCCTGCGCCCTGCCTGTCCACCCGACTATACCCTGGCTCTGCGCCGGGCACCGGACGATGTGCCTCTCTTGGCCCCGGGGGCCCTGACCCTGCTGCCCAGTGGGCTGGGGCCACCCCCACCTCCACCACCCCCTTCCCTTCACCCTTTTGGGCCCTTCCCCCCGCCTCCCCCTACTGCTACCAGCCACAACAACACGCTACCCCACCCTCACTCCACCACACGGGTATAGGGGGCAGCTTGGGGAGGCCCTCCTCCCCAGCCCTCCCCGCCCAGGCGGGAATCGCCACTCCGAAGGTAGGAAGGACTTGGCCACGGGCTTTTCTCTGATGGAGTCAAGCTTTTCTCGTGTGGAGTTGTCACTCACAGAGGAGCATTAAGGTGGACATGGGTTTCCTCACTGGGATATGTGTTTTTTCCCATGCAGAGAATCCCCACCACTCTCTTCTCTGGACCTGGGCCTTTGGACAACTGTTGGGGGGGGTTCCCCCTCCACTGGGACACCAGCCTTCGGTGTGTGGAATTGTGGGAGTACTTTCCTGCGTGGAGGTGTGCTTTTTCATGAGGGGGTGTGTTTTCCCATGTGCAGGGTGAGGTTTTTTTTTTGCCGCCCTGGACACATGTTGGCCCCCTCGAAGAATTTCTGCAGGGGTTTGTACCCCAGAATCCTGTTCCCTCATGCCTTCTCCCACCTCTTTCCACCTCCCCACCCCCTGGAGACCCTGGAAGTGGTGTGTTCACGTGCAGTGACCATTGGTCACCAGACAACACAGGGTGGTGCTGGGAAGCAGTGAGGAAATCCCAGGCCCCCTCCCCTTGCTCCCCACCCCAGTGAAGCATGTCTATCCCCCGTGGCACAAATCAGACAGAACACGTTCTCCCTGGTGGGCCCGAGCCTTCCAGGGATGAAGACGACAGACACGTTTCCTGTCGGGGGAAGGGAGCAGATCCATGCTTCCCTGTGCTGCCTGGGAACTTGCTTTCCTGGGGGGTCCAGGACACATTTCTTTCAGTGGACACATGTTCTTGCATGTGGATGCGTGTTTTCCCATGCAGACGGCCCCTTTCTCCCCAGCAATTCCCTGCACCCCACCCCAGGCCTCAGGCCCAGCACTCAATTCCTCCCCACATAGCAGTCAGGAACAGATTGAAAATGACAGAAGTTGAGGGGGATGTACAAATCCTGAGAGGAGGCTCTGCCCCTTGCTGCCCTAGAGATGCTGAGTTGGAGGGTGTGGCATGTGCCACCTACAGAGGCCATGCATGTTTGACCAGTGCCCTCACCCAAGGTCTGAGGACAGCCTTTTCCCTCAGTTCTTAGACCATTGCTCATCTGTGCCCAACTGAGGAGGTAGGTTTGAGGGGTGAAAGACCCTTTCCCCAAATGTGCCAAGGATTCCTCAGTCCTGGACCAGGGCAGAGGAAATGGTGGGGCGGTGGAATAGAGGAGTTGAAGGAGCAGCAAAAAGAGCCCAACCTGTGTCTCCCTTGTCACTATGTCCTCTCCTCTGTTCCTTCTCCACCATCTCTGTCTCCCCCTTTGAATCTGTCCCCATCTCAGACCAGCCCCTACCCCTCAGCTGCCCTCCTCTCTTCCCTCAGCCTCCAGGGCCCCAGGAAAGGAACAGTGGAAGTGAGAGCTGGGGAGAAAGGCTTCACAGGACAGGTTGGGGAGAGAATGAGGTCAGCTGTGCTGAGGAACAGATGGAAGGGGCAGGGGAGACGGGGCTTGGGCAGACACCAAGAAGAATTTGAAAGGAAATGTGTGAGGTGACTGCCCAGAGGCAACCTGAGGAGAAAGGGTTTGAGCCTCTGGGGTAAAGAACAATGTTGGGAAGAGTTTAAGGAAAGGCAGCAGAGGAGGAGAGAATCCTTGTCTGCTGGCATTTATGGGACATCAGTGCCAAACTCGAAGGTGGGTGGGTGCTGTCTTCCGCTGACACCCAAATCCAGAATCCCTGGTCTTGACTTCCCAGAATTTTGCCTCCTGACTGACTCTTCTCCTCCCACCTTCACCCATGGAAACTTAGTTCTTTTCTGACCTCTTCCCTTGCCTGGTCCAGCTCCCTAAACAGTCATGCCCTCCAAATGCTAGGAACCTGGGTTCTGAACCCTGTAGACAGATGCCCCCAGAACTGGGGCATGGGAGGGGGGCTGGGGGACCCCATGATTCAGCCACGGACTCCAATGCCCAGCCCCTCTCCCCAGAACAATTCCCTGACAATTCCATATCCCCTACCCCAACCCTTCGCGGCTCTGTACACATTTTTAAACCTGGCAAAAGATGAAGAGAATATTGTAAATATAAAAGTTTAACTGTTGGTTGTGCCTGCTGTCATGTTAGGAGATGCTGGGTGAAGGCTCTAAAGAAACAAGCCCTTAGGGAGTCATGAGATGTGGGAGAAGAGGGGTCCAAGCCTCCAGCCCTTCTTTTCAGTGAGCACCTCTGAGGCCTCAGGGAAGAGGGAGTGGGTGCTGGGGGGATTGCCACGGTGATTGGATTGTTTGGGGAATTAGGACAGGACCCCTGTGTGCAGAGGCCAGAGCCTGGTGTGTGTGTGGGGGGTGCTGATGGGGCTGATGTGAATGAGGCCTGTGGGCTGGTCTAGGCAGCTAACTAAAGGAGAAGCTTTTTTAAGGTGAGGGTTTGACCTCTGCCAAAGCCTGGGTCCAAGCTAGAGGGTCAACCATGGGCCCAGGACTCCCCCCTTGGCACATTGTGAGGAGGAACCCCACTATCATTGTGACCCGCTTACTCCCAGGAGCCTCTGGGACAGGTAGGTGAGCTGGTGCCCAGTGTGGGCACAGTGGGCTGGGGGCCTAGGGGCCCAGGTGGCCCTAGGGACCCCCATGGCCATGGCTGAGCAGCCACGGCCTGGGTGGGCGCCGTATCACAAGCCCCACACCAACAACTGCCAGGATCTGGGCAACTCTATCCTGTTGCTGTTGGGCCTCGTCATCTGCATTAATATTGGCATCAATATGGTGACCCTGGTCAGGGTGGTACCAGGTGGGAGGGTGCTGGTGGGACAGCTGGGGGTAAGGCCTTGTGCCCAGGGATGCCTGGGGTCACTGTCTCCTCCTCCACCTAGCTCTGGCGCAGACTCCGTTATTTCTTACGCCAAGTGTTCCATATTATTTGTGTGAAAGGTAAGCAGGGATGGGGTTGGGGTGTAGGAAACCAAGTATTGGTTCCAGCACTAAGCTGGGCCCTCACTAATTTCCTCTCTCAGACACCACTGCTATGCAGAGTCCTTTCCTGTACTCTGCTTCTCCATCCCTGTAGAAGCCAGCCTCCCCACTGGCCCCTCACCTCTCCCCTATCCACAGAAGCTCTTAAGTCAACCTCATCTGGGAAAAAGAACACCAGTCAGCCCTCGAGAAAACAAAGCCCACCTGCAGTCCACCTTCGATGCACCATGGACCCTGTGAAAATGACTGTGACCCCCCCACCCACTCGCCGCCATCGCCATCAAGACACTCCAGTGCACTGTGCCCACCATCCAGTTGACTTGACCCCTGACACTGACAATGAGAAGCCCCTGCCTCAGCACAGAGCAATCTGCTCCCACAACTGGGATTGCCCTGCGGACTGGGAAGGTTTCCAGTCGACCCAGGGGATCTGCGATTCCTGGACTCAGGACACCATGGAATCACCTCCCCAGACCATCCGCTTCCAGCAGACCGTAGGGGGAAGGCCCCTCAAAGCAGAGATCCAGTCAGAGGTGGGCCTAGAGGCCTACGTGTATCCTGTGAACCCCCCACCTCCCAGTCATGAGGCCCTGACCCACAAGAACAGTGGGGTGGAGGCAGAGGAGGAGGCCCCTCCCTGTTCACCGGCCCCACCGCTGGTCCTGGGCCCAGCTGTAGTCCCTGACATCCCCCGGCACCGCTCCTCAGGCCGTGTGGCTTATGATGCCCGTGACGTGAGGCGGCGGCTACGGGAGCTGACACGGGAGATAGAGGCCCTGTCTCACTGTTACCCCCTGGCCTCCAGGTCCAGTACTGCCGAAGGGACAGGCCAGGGCTGGGTTTACCGTTCTCTGGCAGGGAGGTAACTGGGAAAAGAATAAAAAAGAGAGAGGAGGTGTTTTGTGTTGGTGTGTGGAGATTCCAGGCACACGGCCCGCAGAAGCCCTGGTTGCTAAGGGAATGATCTCCCCAGCAACAGGGCTTATAGAGCCCTGAGGACCCTCATCAACTTCTTGCCCTCACCAGACCCTGCCCTCAGCCCTTTCCCCAAACCTTCCTGGTTCCAAAGCTCCCCTTGCCTCTCCCCTGCTTTCTCTAGTGCCCAGAGAAGTCCCCAGATTGTAGCTCAGATCCCCAGCCAGTCCTGCACTTCAGGGAAGACCCCCATCTGAGAGACTGTAGCCCCTCAGAGGTCTGGGCCCTGCCAGAGTCTAGGTTTAGGCTGCAGCCACAGATGAGGCAGAAACACTCACTCCCTCTTAAGCCCTGGTGTATTTGGGGAAGGATGGTTAAGTTAGGGTATCTAGGACCTCACTGTCCCCCAGTCAGGACCTGAAGTTCCTATGCCCTCAAGCAGGCTTGGACTAGAGGATGAAATAAAGAGGTGTCTCTCAAGGGCTGCCTCACTGTAATATCACAGGCTCTGTGACTCCTTTGATTACAACCCCCGTGGCACAAATGAGACTGAGGCTCAGAGAAGTCAAGTGACTTGCTCGTGGTCACACAATAGACATCAAGTGTCAAGTTGATGGCCTCAGACGCTCCATCTCCCTACACCTGCAGAGGGATTTCCATTGCCAGCCTGGACCACCAGGATCTGCTACCTTCTTCAGTTCTCCATGTGAACTTACCAGAACATTCCATCCCACTAGACAGCCGGGGGACAAAGGCCCTGCCATACTCCTAGACAGGATCACATGTGCACGTGAGTGCACACACACACACACACACACACAGAGAGAAACAAGAAGCCATGTGGGTGGATCCAGGCTAAAGGAATTGGACCTCACCTTACAAACCAGATGGATTTCTGGAATTTGGCAGACAGGCCTTTTGTGAACCACCCTTCTTCTCTGTTGATTTACATTCGACTAACATTTTTATCAGTTTAAGCTAATTCCATTTGGTGGGTCTGTATTGAGCACCTACTCTATGTTTGCAATCTTGATAGGCAATGCTTACTGTCTTTTCTGTTTCTGGTGAGTGGGTTATTGTGTAAAATGACTCAAGGCCCCTAGTGCATCCCTTTCATAGATCCCACTGATGAACCTGTTGTAAGTCGAAGTCCTTTTCCCATATCAATAATTACACCTATTCTGTGCTTTGTGAGTTTCAAATGATTATCTTAAGGTGGAAGCTACAAGTTTTTGAAGGGAGTAGGTAGGTCATCAAGAGATCAACAAGTGGTTAGGAAGGAGCAAAACTATGGTTGTGGGTGGTGCCTGACAAGGGAAGAACCTCAGTCAGACTTGCTCTAAACTTGAGGAGCAAATGGGCACAGTGACCACAATACTAGAACTTCAATCCCTTGCCAGGGCAGGCAGGGATGGGTGCTAGAGGGATAACGGCAGAAAAATGGGCAGGAAAGGAAGAGAGTGGTGCAGTGGGTGACCCATCTATCCTGTCACCCCAGCTGCTGGCCCTAAAGTAGGCATGGGGTGGGGAGCAGTTAAAGAACTCCTTTGTGCATGGTTCAATCTCTGGAAAGACTCTCTCTCATGACCGTAGCTACCATGTTTTCAGAACAGGGATCAAATGCAGAATTAAGTAAGCCCTCACAAAGACAAAGAGACAGACTGAAATCAGGGATATCTGGAGACTGGCTCCATCAAATGGGTACCAAGGATAGAGATGGCCGTGTAAAGCGTCAGCAGAGTAGTTCAAAGATCTGCTATCTCTGCATTGTGACTCCCCTCCAACTTGCCTCATTATGACCTGGCTCCCCCAGAAACAAGTAGGGGTCTCCAAGTCTTGGCGTGAGTGCAGTGTGGGCCGGGGCTTGGGGGGGGGGCACGGCCCAGGTGGCCCTAGGACCCCCCCACCATGGAAGACCAGCTCTGGTATGAGAGCACCCTGGGGTGCTGCAATCAATACCACAAAGGTCCCCAGGATGCTGAAGACTTCCTACTCCTGCTGCTGGTTCTCATTATTCTTGTCAACACTGGGATTAACGTGGCAATTGTGGTGAGTGATGGCTGGGAACAAATACTAGGGGTGAAGAAGTCTGAGAGTGGGAGACAGCTACAGCCTGCACCTCCACCAGTGGGAGGGGCTGAGGGTAGAGAGCTAGGCCTTCATTCTTTCTCCACACCACCCTCAGGTGTGGCGTCGGCTCCAGAATGCCTTAAGCAAGATGATCTGTTGGATTAATCAGAAAAGTAAGTATGGAAGCTAGAGAGGTAGGGAACCTCCAACCACATCCCTAGAACCCAGGCCCCGGTGCTTCCAACCCTGACATCATGGACTCCTGCCTTCCCCAGATGACATCTTCCAGACTCGTCAAAACTCCCCCAAAGATCCAAGTCAGGGCCCAGTCAGGGACGTCCACATTCACTGCACCCTGGACCCTGTTGAGGTGAAAATGGACCAATCCACATGCTGCTCCTCTTCTTCCTACCATCTCCGCAATCGCAACCCTCGTCGCCAACACTGCCGTCAACGCCGCCACCGTTACCGCTGCCGCCACCAGCAGAGGCCAGAGAACCACAGACAGTTCCGCCATGGCCGCCCAGTCTTCCGTGCCCTACATCGCAGCCAGAAGATGTCAAACCTACGGCCAATGGCTTTCTTGGATCAGGAGGACCAGGACTCCTACCTGGAAGATGAGGATGACCTGTCCTTTCCACAGCCCAAGTACCCACATAAGGGTTGGAGAGGACTCTATCCAAGATTGGGCCTGCCTTCCAAAGTGGGGCTGTGGGGCCGCCAGGGCGGCATCCTAGCCAGTCTGCCACCACCTTCTCTCTACATTTCCCCTGAGCTCCGCCACATGCCCAAGCGTGTGGAGGCCAAGTCTCAGCTGAGGCTTCAGTCCTATGGCCCCCGTTGCTCACAATCCCGTATTTTGGGCAATGTGGAGGCTGAACACTGGACTTCGTCTCTACAACCTGCCCGTCGGCTGCCCCCTAACCCCTCATGGGCCCCTGCGGGGCACAGCCCTCACCCCTCACGGGGCCACTTGCTGTATGACTCCTTGGAGCAACGGTGTCGTGGTCTAGAGAGCTCTGAGCCCCCACCCGCCTTGGTGCCCCGGAGCTGTACCCGGCCAGAGGCCCAGGGCTACTGGGACCGCTGCTCTCCACAGCCTCACCGGCGGGGCTTCCCTACCCACACTTACAGCCAGCCCAACCACAGCCCCCAACCATCCACAGGACACTTGACTTATAGCTCACGGGATCCCCATGAAGTTCGGCGCCGGGCAGCTGAATGGAATGAGGCTCTGCCCACTCGACATCCTCTGACCACCTCCACCTCCCTCACCATGTTGGGCGAGGCCTCATGCCAGCGTGGCCCAGCTCTGCTTCACCGTCCCACTCAGCCCCTAACTTCAGTCCAGGCTGCTGAGCCTGCCCCACCCACGGCTACCTTCATCCCACTCAGTCGGAATCCGGGTGGTAATGCCAATTACCAGGTGTACGACAGCCTGGAGCTGAAGCGACAGGTACAGGAGAGCCGAGCACGGGCCACCTCATTGCCACCACCTTCCACCTCAGCCTCGAGGCCCTCAGTGCACAGGAGCCAGGCTGGAAAACTTAGCTGACCAGCAGGCAAGTGTGGGTAGCAGGGCAGGCCATGAGAGAGGAATAAAGAGAAACAGAGTCCAAGAAGCACTGTACTGGTGTGTGGCTTAGAAGTGCCACCCATTCTGCAAGCCTAGGCCCCTGCCCTTAGCTTCCTAAAATAAGAAGCCAATGTCCCCTTCTTGGTGTGAGGATCCCCTTGGCTTAGTGGCCACGATCCTACCAGCAGGTCCCTCCTAGGTCCATACCATGCACTAAAGATCTTGCAGCTGCAGACTCCAAACTACTGCTCTTTGGGCGCTCACCCCATCTGTCTCAGCTCTCCCTATTACCGAAGGGGCTTGGAGGCACAGTCCCACTCAAGAAGCTGATGCCAGATTCCAGCCCTGGAATTTGTTCCAGTCTGGGCAAATGTAGGCCCAGTGTAAGGCAGGGAGAGTGCCTGTCTCTGGATCCCAGGCAGGCCTACCCCAGGGCTTGAAGGCCGTGGTCTTGCCAGCTTCAGGAGTGGAGCAGGGCTCAGAATTCTTAGCTAAAACTGCAAGAACAGCAGAATGAGTGACTGTGCGAATGGGCAGCAAGGGAATGACTGAGAAGAAAGGGATGGTATGCTGGTCACTTGGCCTTGTCTGAATTTCCAGGCTCAGGTTACCCAAGCCCAGTTACCAGGGAACTTCAGCCTGGCCCTTCCACTTCCTCCCCTCCCTCATTGTGACCCCCACCATCCACCCCATTGTGACCCAGCCTTTCTCCCCCTCCCCCCCCCAGAGGAGTCTGGCTCTTAGTGTATGTGGGGGGCCAGGGGGCCCAGGCAGTCCTGGGACCCCCCGGCCATGGGTGAGCGAGCCCACCACGGAGCCCGAGTGTGTTCTGGCACCAACCCCAGGAAGTGCCAGGACTTAGGAGACTCAATTCTTCTGCTTCTGGGCAGCTTCATCCTGCTCAACGTGGGGATCAACGTGGTGACTCTGGTCAGGGCAGGGCCTGGACAGCAGGGTGGGGGGAACCCTGGAGTCTTGTAGGGGCTGAGGTGGGAGGGCTGCTGGGGTGTGGCCAAAACAAGGGTTGGACCTCTGGACTCTCCCCTCTTCCCCTGCTTCTCTCAGCTCTGGAGGCATCTGAAGAACTCCTTGCGGATCCTTTTCCATCATTTTTTCCCCAAAGGTGAGTGAGCCGAGGCATGTGGGACGTGGGCTGCTCCCTTTCCCTTACCCCTGTGTCCATTCTCAGTCCCTCAGGGACCCAGGCTTTGTCCCATCCCACTTTTCCCTGCAGACAAGCAACCCAGCTCTACAGGCAGCCGTCCTGTATGTATGCGCTGCTCTGTGGACCCCAAAAACCTGTGCTCAAGAGTCTCTTCCCGCTTTCATCATCGCCCCAGCTTCCTGCTTGGGCAGTCTAATCACCCTGACTCCTGGATACCAGACACGAATGAGGGGAAAGCTTCTGGGTGCTGCTGGATGCCACCTCAATGTGGACACACAGGGAATCCCACAGAGGCTCCGCGGGGACTGTGGAAAGAGGGGATGATGGGAGCTGGGGAGAGCCCTCAGGTCACAGCTTTAAAGTCCCAAGCCTCCTTTTACTCCAGGCCAGAGACTTCTTCCCAGTTCCATGCCCCCAAGGCCAACTTCAAGGCTTACAATCCAAAGATGAGCAAGTTGGACATGGTCCCACTACGCTTGCTCCAAGAGAGCAAGATTCAAACCCCAGTTCAGTCCTCGGCTCAGTCCCCAGTCAAGTCCTCAGCCCAAGACCCTGTGCACATCTCAGCCCATGCCCCAGTCCATACTCGGACCCATTCCTCAGTCCAGACCCCTGAGCGCACCCCAGTCCATACCTCAGCTCAACCCCAAACTCACTCCCAAACCCATACCCCTGAACATGTCTCAACCCACACCCAGGCCCACTCCCAGGACCCTGAGTATACATCAGCCTGTGCCTCAGGCCACACCCCAGCCCAAGCCCAGACTCACTTCCAGGTCCATGCCCCTGAGCACACCTCAACCCATACCCCAACCCACATCCTGACCCACACTCAGACCCATTCTCAGGTCCACACCCCTAAGCATACCTCACCCCATGCCCACACCACTGAGCAAACTTCAACTGCCTCAACTCACACCCCGCTCCACGCTCAGACCCAGTCCCAAGCCTTTGTCCCTGAGCATACCTTAACCCATGTCCCAAACCATACTCTGGCCCATGTTCATCCAACCTATACCCATTCCCTGGCCTCTGCCCCAAAATCTGCCCCAGTTCCTTCCTCAACTTCTACCCCAGCCCCTACTCTAGCCCCTGTCTCAACCCCTGCTTCATCACTGGTCATGGCCCTGGCTACCACCCCTGTTCCTGCCAGTACCCCTGCTCCTATCTCTGTCCCTACCCCTACCCACATCCTAAGCCCTATTCCCTCTAACCTGGCTGCCTTCAGTCATAACCCCTCCACTGGACATGTGGTCTACGATGCCCGCAGGGTAAAGCAGAACTTTTTCCATGTGCACAGTCCCAAGAACTCTGAATATTCCAAAAAGGATTTGGATACCCTCTCCAGGCCCCAAGATAGACGGGGCCTGGTGAGCTCTGGAACATGTGAGCAAACATCTAAGCAACACAGCAGGGATGGTGCAAAGCCCCCTGCAAGCTCTGTACTGGGCTACTTGGAGTTGGAGAATATGGAATGGAAGACTCCAAATGATGGTAAAGACAAGTTCTTCCAGCCTAAGATGTTCCCTTACTGCAGCTTCCATCCCTGCAGTTTTGGGAGGAAGAACATAGATTCCCAAGCTCCAGTCTACCCCCAGTTCCTGGTCTACTCCCAGGGTGCTGCACCTCCTCAACCATGCTTTCACTCTCCAACCACTACCCAGAGCTCACTGAGCACCCTTCCTCCACCATACACTCTTTCCCTGCCTCTGGTTTCTCCCAGATCCTTTGTCCTTTCTGAACCAACCAACCACCAGAATCCCTCGAGCTCAATACAAACCCCCACCTCTCTCCCAACCTCCAAGTCTCCTCAGTCCATCTCCCCTTCCCAATTCCCCAGTTCTCCCCACTTCACCATTCCCCAATCCCCGATCCAACCCCAATCCTCTGAACTTCACAAGAGTCTAGGCCTTACCCAAGACCCTGGCCTCCAAAGAAGCTCATGTCCTTCAAAAGACTCTAGGGCTCATAGGAACCCAGGCCCTACCCAAGACCCAGGCCTCCACAAGAACCCAGGCCCTACCCAAGACCCGGGCCTCCACAAGAACCCGGGCCCGACCCAAGACCCGGGCCTCCACAAGAACCCGGGCCCGACCCAAGACCCGGGCCTCCATAAGCATTCAGGTCTCTATAAGAGCTCAATTCCTTCCCAAGACTCTGGGCATCACAAGAGTCCAGGCATTACTCAAGATTCTGGCCCTCAAAAGAGCCCTATACAAGATGCTGGTGTCTTTAAGAGCCCGTGTGTCACCAAATCCCCTGACCTCCATAAGAGCACACTATTTACCCAAACTTCTGGCTCTCAGAGGACTTCAGGCTTTATGCAAGACTCTGGAGTCTATAGGAATCTAAACCCAGAGACTGTAGTCTACAAAAGTAACGACTTCCCCCAAGCAACTGAGCACCAGAAGAGCCCAGGCTCTTCTCAAGATTATGGAGGTTGTAAGAGTTCAAGCATTGCCCAAGATTCAGGAGTCCATAGTTCAGGCCTAACCCAGGACTCTGGTCTCCACAAGAGTCCAGGCATTGCCCAAACCTCTAGCCTTCCTAAAGGCTCAAGCCTTACCCAAGACTCAGGAGACTATAAGAATCCAGGCCTTATTCAAGATTCTGGAGTCCACAAGAGTCCAGGCATTACCCAAACTACTGAAGTCCAAAAGGAATCTAGCCTTATTTTAGATAGTGGAGTTTACAGGAGCCCAGAACATGCCCAAGACCTCAACCTCCACAAGTGCTCAGGAATTAATCAACATCCAGGACCCTGTAAGAGGCCAGCCCTTATCCAAGACTCTGAGTTCCCCAAGATTCCTGGTCTTACTCAGGAATCTGGCCTCCACAAGGACTCATGCCTTAGCCAAGATCCTGGCCTCCATAAGAGCCCAGGTCTTGCTCTAGGTACTGACTCTGTCCCGATCTTATACCCTCTTCAGACCCCAAAGCCAACGCCATCTCTGATGAAGCCATTTTTATCCAAGGAGGCTCCCCAGAGGGATGGCACAGAATGGTACATACCTTGGACTTCTGTCCCCCTCAACCCGAACTCCAGCTCTTCCAAGGCCCAGACAATCTGCAATAATCCGCAAACCCTCTCAGAGGTACCTGTACTAATTGAGCTGCAGCCATTCTCCCGACGGGCAGGCAGCCAAGACTGGGTATACCGACCCATGGATATAGTTCCTCCAGCCTGCCAGAACTATCGCCAGATGTCTATGCCTCCCAAAATGAACTGGAAGACCCACTGCCCTGGACCAGGCCCCCGGGCAGGGCATGTGGTCTTTGATGCCCGCCAGAGACAGTTAGGAGTGGGCAAAGACAAGTGGGAAGCTCTGTCTCCCAGACACCGTCACCAAGAATCACCCGGCAACTCATGGGACACCGCCAAGGAGTGGGGATATCAGTATGTAATGAAGCCTTTGGAAAAAGAGGGAACAGAGGTACATCAAGAATAAAGAGGCAAGATAATTGTTCTGTGGTTGTTTGAGGACATCCATGCCTGCCCCAGCCCTGGTGAGGACTGGAACTATCCTTGTCCCTATTCTTCCTCTGAAAGGAGCTCTGATGGTGTAGTACCTAAGGCATCTGACTACTAACCAGAAGGTTGGCAGTTCAAACCCACCAGCCACTCCATGGAAGGAAGACTGGGCAACCTACTTCCGTAAAGATTTACTGCCTCAGAAACCCAATGGACGTCACTGTGAGTCAGATTCAACTTGATGGCAGTGAGTTTGGTTTGGTATTCTTTCTCTAGAGATTCATAGCTAAACCTATTATCCTCAAGGCCCTAAAAAGCAATGCAATGCAACGCACTGACATGGAGTCAGACCTGACTCATAGCAACCCCTCCTTGGGTTTCCGAGGCGGTATCACGACAGAAGTAGATTGCCCAACCTTCCTTCTGAGGAGTGGCTGCATTATCCAATACAATAGCTACACTAGCCAATGTGGCCAATAAATTTGAAATTAAAAATAAGCAAAATTAATTTTTATTACTCAGTTACATTATCTACATTCCAAATCCTCAGCAGCCACACATGGCTAGTGTCCACTATATTAGCACAAATTTAGAACATTTACATCATCACAGATATCCTATTAGACAGCAATGCTTTAGGATTTAGAGAAACTTTCCTTTCCTTTCCTATCCATTCCCACATCTTCAAAACTCCCATAGAACTTAGAGAACTTTCTCTGAGGGTCATTAAGAGTTTCACCCTCTTGGGAGGAGGTGATGCCTAATGCATGGCTACCCCAGACCAAGATAAAGAACCCAGTCTCCAGTTCTCCTGACCTGGTCTCTTAGGTCACAACCACAAACCAAAGAAACAAACCAACAGTTGCCGACAACTTGATTCTCATGGCGACCCCAAGTATGTCAGAGTAAAACTGTGCTACATAGGTTATTCACAGCTGTGACCTTTTGAAGCTGATTGCTAGCCCTTTCTTCTGAGGTGCCTCTGAGTGTGTTTGAACCTCCAATCTTTTGGTTAGTAGTCAACTGCTTAACTGTTTACATCATCCAGGGACTCCAGGGTGACAATCAGATGTATGGAAACCCCAGTTCTGGGCTTAGAGGTTTTGGTACCCCAGCGGTCCTGGCCCTAGTTGTTGAGGGGTAAGAGCTCCTTTCATGACACCTAGGAACTCCTGAGGTCTGGTATCCTCGAATTAAGCCTTAGATTCTGAGAATCCTATCCTTTATGGGTTTCTAATTTTTCTAGGTGTCACTACTTAATTGGCCCATAGACTTGGGCCCACTCACTGTGGAGACAATCCCTGGGCAGAGGGAATGTATGAAGTCCTGGCCTAACAGTGAACTGGTCTGTCTGATCTGGGAGCCTGTCCTGGCTCCAGGCCCCATCCTGGATTTATAAATATGTCCTGGTCCATGATAGATTAACCAAAACCAAACCAAACCCACTGCCGTGGAGTCGTATCTGACTCATAGAGACCTCTCCTTGGGTTTCCGAGGCAGTATCACTATGGAAGTAGATTACTGAGAGCAATTTCCTGCCCTTGATAATCTTCCATTGCCTTACCTCAACCCAGCTAAGAGATTCCTCTGGACTCAATTTTCATTTGCTTTGCAAACTCTCATACATCTCTCTTCCCTGGGTCAGATGTTCATTCTTGAGTCACTTCCTGTGTGTTTCTGATTAACACTATCATCACTGATTCAAGGAAATGGCCTGCTAAGCTAGCCAGGGAGCACCTTTCCAACACCTGGTTCAGCTGTTACATTGGACAAGTCATGGATGAACTTTCTAGCTTACAGTTTCCCCATCTCCAAAAAAAAAAAAAAAAACCCACCAAACTCACTGCAGTTGAGTCCATTCTACTCATAGTAATCCCTCCTTGGGTTTTCGAGGCGGTATCTCTACAGAAGTAGATTGCCCAGTCTTCCTTCGGAGGAGTGGCTGGTGGGTTTGAACCACCGGCCTTCTGGTTAGCAGTCAAATGTCTTAGGCACTAAGCCACCAGAGCTCCCCATCTCTAAAATGAAGGAATTCTAATTGCATGGATGAATCCTTCTACAGCTAAGTGACCAGGGCTTCTCTACTCACACATGGGACCCAAGGGTCTCTGTTTCTCCCCAGGCCCTAGGGTGCATTTCCCATTATTTATTGTTTGCTGTTCAGCTCCATCTTATTATCCCTCTACCCCAACCCCAATAAATACTTGGGTGAAGCTGATCTGGGCTTATGTTGTTGTTGTTGTCTGCCATTGAGTTGGATCCAACTCATAGCGACCCCCTTGGGTTGCCCGACCTTCCTTCCGAGGAGTGGCTGGTGGGTTTGAACCGCCAACCTTCTGGTTAGCAGTCAAGTGCCTTAGACACTACACTACCAGAGCTCCCGATCTGGGCTTATATAGACCCAAAATAATATATGTCCATAGAAACTACGACTTCCATCAGGCACTGCTGCGGCAGAACAGGAAAGGCTGTGGAGGCGTGGCTCCAACGCCGGGATAGCTTGGGAGACAAACTACAATTCCCAGGACAGCCCGAGAACTCAGAGGGTGAAAGGAGTGCCTGCACTCTGACCCGAGGGTTGTGAACGTAATTTAGGGGCGTGGCCAGGTGGGCAGGAGGAAGAAGTTACCTGTTGAATTCCTCTAAGCATTCTTTTCCCCACCCTTGTAACTATCCCTAAAAGGGAGACCATAAACCTCTTCCCAAAAGAAGTAAGACCAGGTAAAAAGGGAGTACCCGGCGGCGGCAGAGACTGGCTATTTCATTGGGTAAGAGGGAGAAAACAGCTACTTTTCACCTGCTGAGTCAGATGAGCCTAGCCAGTCCACGGGGGCGGGGACCTGCGTGCGAGAAAAGGGCAAAAACGGAGAGGTATTTATTCGTTTTGAAGACTAAACTTAGAGTTCCTCATCTGCAGACAGAGTTGTGGACTGTGCTTGGAGCACAGGCTTGGCCTCGGGAATAGGGTGATTTTTCGGCCACAAAGGAAAGGCTAGTCTAGGCCATCTCCCTTCCGTGTTTGGCTAAGGAGCCAAAATCAGTAGAACATGGCTTCCACGGTTTGGGGGGTTGCCCCCTGGTGGGGCCCGCCACCTCCGGCCCCAGCCAGGCCGCTCACAGACATCGACTTCCGCTCTGGAGCGCAACTTCAGGAACTGACCCAGCTGATCCAGGAGCTGGGGGTGCAGGAAAGCTGGAGTAACGGGCCCAAGCCGGGGCCAGACCTTCTCCAGGCCAAGGACTTTGTCTTCTCTTTGCTCAGTAAGTAACCCTCCCTGCGTTCTGGAACTCTCAGGCACCGCACGCCCTCGCCGGGTTTTGGGCCACACCCCTACGAACCCTTCTCTTCCTTTAGGTCTTGTTCACCGCCGGGACCCCCGCTTTCCTCCCCAAGCAGAACTCTTGCTGCTTCGTGGCGGGATTCGCGAGGGTTCCCTGGATCTGGGTCCTGTACCCCTGGGTCCCTACACCCGGGGACCTCACTACGACGCCGGCTTCACGCTCCTGGTTCCGATATTTTCGCTGGACGGCACTGGACCGCAGCTGCAACTAGACCTGGGATCCTGTTGTGCCTGGCTGCACCTCCCCGGGCTGGTGAGCGGAACCTCGGTCCAGGAGGCGTGGCAGGATTGTCTGGGACCTCCAGTCCCAGGACGAAGTGATCCGAGCCACCGAAATGAGAACGAAGGAAGTCCCAAGGACAGACCAAGCTCCGAGGACCAGCCGCACGGTTACGTCACTGAACCTGAGCCGCAGGTGTCTTTAGAAAAATCATCTGGTGACGTTTCAGGGCCCGAGTCGCCTCGGCGTGACGTCACCGATCTTAGTTCTCCCGCACCATTGAAGACACTGAGTGGTGACGTCACCAAGCCAACTGAGGCGCGGGAGGTGTGGCCCACATTGTGTCCCACCCAAGTGGCTGCCTGGTTCTTTACTTCGCTGACCAAGGTCGCTGAGGCCCTGACCCCGGCCCCGGGTGCCCCGCGCCTGGTGCACGCGGCCCGCCATGCGGGGTTCACCACGGTCCTCCTGGCCACGCCGGGGCCCCCGCGGCGTCTCCTGCTCTTCGACCTGATCCCTGTGGTGTCCGTGGCCGGCTGGCCCGAAGGAGCCCGGAGCCACTCGTGGGCCGGCCCGCTGGCCCCTGAGTCGGCTTCCTTCTACCTTTTGCCCGGCGGCAGCACAGAGCGTCCGGGAGCCTCTGGCTGGCAGCTCTGCTTCGCCCGCCAGGAGCTGGCGCTCAAGGCGCGCATACCCGAGCCGCTGCTGCAGGCGCACGCCGCGGCCCAGGCGTTGCTGCGCCCACTAGTGGCCGGGACCCGAGCTGCGGCGCCCTACCTGCTGCGGACGTTGCTCTATTGGGCGTGCGAGCGGCTGCCCGCGCTCTACCTGGCGCGGCCAGAGAACGCGGGCGCCTGCTGCCTTGGGCTGCTGGATGAGCTCAAACGCGTGCTCGAGGCTGGAGCGCTACCCCACTATTTTCTGAGCGGCCGGAAGCTCTATGCGGGGAACAGAGACGCCGCTTTCCTGGAGGCGTTGGCCCGGCTCCGTGGGGACCCTGCTGGGGCCTTGCGCTCAGCGGTGGAGGAGGCCAAGGTTGCGCGCAAGGGGGGCGGCTTAGCCGGCGTGGGGGGCGGGACCCATTAAAGACAATGTTCCTACGCGCGTGCAAAGTGCTGCTTTCGGGGAGAGGGATGTAGAGAGGGCTGCCCGTGCCTCACCTGAGGGACAAACTGTCTCCTGTGCCCAAAGACTCCGTTTTAGCAGGCCTTGTTGGTTCCTCCCACACCTCCCGCTCCCGCTCCCAGCGCCAGTCGTCCCAGACTGCCCGCTCTTCCCACCCCAGTACAGCCTGAGGCAACCATCTCCCAGTTCTTTTGGTCTTTTCTCTTAGGAATCAATAGAGATAAACCAAACCTATTGCCCTCGAGTGGTAGAGACAGAATTTGTTATGTGCCGTCGAGTCGGCCCCGACTCATAGCGACCCCTCCTTGGGTTTCCCAGGCAGTATCACTACGG